ATACTTACATTTTACCAGCCAACTACCGAATGATTTACTTTGTTTGATCTTTGAAGGATGAACAATTTCATTATGTTTAGCTGAATGAATTTCACCAATCATTTTGCAAATAGTCACCAAGCCAAGAGTCTCATTATCCCGTTGGATTTCGATTGATGTTAGATGGTTCCAGGCAACCATCACAAAGTCTTGAACCTAAGTATTATGTACTGTAACGATGATTCTGCTATTTTGGTGGTCACACTATGAAATGCTAGACAGAACTCAGGACTAGTCACCAGGAAATTACTACCTCCGTGATGAGCGATCAAGGTATCTAATTCAGTCTTACAGAAAATCAGTCACACCACGAACAACTCAGAGGCAAATTCTCTAACCACAGTGCTGAGTGATGTGAGTTAAAATCTCACCAAGGACACCAATTCCATTAAGGTTGTAGATATGCTTTGCTGATGGGTGTCAACAAACACTGAACCCTAAGTAAAAGACGACTTTTTGCCGTTGCCATCAATTAATTCGCGTCAGTGCACTCTTTTATATCTCTGTAAATACTAACTGAAATTTTAAAAAGATATATAATTCATCTTTTGTCTGGGCGGTAACAATTGGTAAGCTGGAAAATGATAGACAGAGTTACTATTTCTATGTGCATTTACAAGTTTAGCTGTTCTTGTGGAGTAAGCGATGGGGAGTACCACCGGATAACTCGACAGAAATGTTGCTGAGCACCTACCCTCATCTTATTGACAGTGGTCACCTAGTAGATAAGAACAATTCTTTAAAGATTATTCACTGCATACCACTTAATCCTTCGGAAGTTATTTAAACTCACCGTGTAAGTATAGCAGAAGCTGTGGAAATCCAAGCGTCTAATCCTTGTCTTCATATTCAGAAGACGTTTGTACAGTCACTACGTCTCCCTTAGTCACGGAACATTCAATAAACAGCTTTATCAAACAAGGTGATTTTCAATCCCGTCACCAAGGGTTTCGCCCGACCACCATGTAAATTCGTCACGCGTTACTGGTCCGCACACAGGCCGATTTTGGTTACCATGGAGGACCCAACCGGAAAGTGAACTTGTTTTCACGTGGTTCAGACCAACATTCAGAGAATGCTTGAACTGATAATAGGTTTTAGTTTACCCAACTAACCATTTCTGATTATCATTCGCGTTATGGTAAACGGTGTCAAGGCATGTGTAACACCGCAGTTGTTGAAAACTTGCAAACTCGTCAGCTGACCAACTCCAATACTTGCAGTTCTATGCCTAATCCGCATGCTACTATAGATAATGTCACAAAGAAAAATGGTTCTGAACATCTTACACCTCTCCATAGTAGTAGTAATAATAATAATAGTAATAATAAAAGCTTTACTTCTAACAGTATACATGATATAGAAAAAAATTCTCAGCATGTAGTGTGTCGACAAATTGACGCCCACAGCAATAATTCTAACCAAAATGATAACTGCTATGCTGATCTGAATGATGTTTATAGTTAGAGCATTAAAGGCAACAATGCGGAACAGTCAATTGGCACTGGATTAGCGTTCGGTTTAAAATATTAAATGAACAGAAAATAAAGTGTAATTTTAGTAGTGGTGGTTCATTCAACAAGAACCTGCAATTCATGCTAAGTAACTGAGGAATAGAAATATGATATATTTTTGCTTAATGAATCGTTCATTTCCCCATAACGTGAAATGTTTTCTTCATTCTGTTAATAAATTGAGAAACGGCTAGTTAATTGTATTTTTAAAATATGCAAGAGTATATAGTACGTTTAGAATACACATTTAAAAGGCTGGAACAAACTGAAAAAGATGAATGAATATAGTCAGGTTCTAACATCCATCTTCAATGTTTCCAGGCATTTTGGCAAAAATATCACATTCAGTAAAAGTAGAGTGCTAAAATGAAAAAAAATATTTTCACCACTGAAATTTAACAGTCATTCTCAAGAATTTCCGAAGGTTTTCATCAAGTAGAATACTCTTGCTCCCAGTTTCTTAGAGTATTTAAGATAGACTTTCATTCGTCACTCATATTCCAAAGATTTGTTTGGCATCGGAAGATCTTTATTTCTAGTGCTTAGAAGCTTTGATTTAAAGGCCTCTGAAGGTCTACATAATCAATCCACCAACTCCTTATTTGCTATAGGATAAGTTTATACTTCTCTACATCTAAATAGCCTATTTGAAAAGTTTTCATTAAATGGAAAGGATGTTTTCTCGAGCTAACTCAACTTTTGCCGTATAAGTTAGTCATGATGCTGTGAGTAGTGACAACTTACTCTGTACATATAAACATATATATGTTCGATACTGGGCTATGACTTAAAGTGGAATGGAAACCTGGGAGTGGTAGAACTGGAACCAGTAGTTTAGGAATAATTGGTTCGGTGCTCTATCAAAAGAGCACCAAAATTGGTCGATAGCTCAGGGGTTACACTCACCGAGGATTTCATCTGCCAGCTAAGTGAATCCATGATGTCAGTAACGGTTCATTGCAATTATGACTGCTACCTAACCAGGTCCTCTGATGTCAAGTGAAACTAAACTGAGTTAAAGAAAAAACTACTGGAGCTAGCCATGGCTCGGTGAACTGGTTTATCCAGACCACGATACTCATTCTATTTCGGCTTCAGTCCACGTTCCCATTTCACCTTCTTTCATCACTCAGTATCAATAAAGTCAGACTTCTAAATCATATTTATCTCAGATAGTTTCATTATAACGTAAATATATTTCATTAAGTGACTAATGATGCATTTAAGGTGGCAGTTTCCTTGACAAATGTTAAAATACAGCAATAGTTCTAAATACATCTTGAATTCGTAGTTTAGATTTATCTTGCAAAATGACATAACAACTAGTGCAAACCTTTTTTGCATCTCAGTATGATGAACTGTGTAGTAGGCTGCCATAGGTAAAGTTGTTAAACAGAAATACACGAGTCGAACCATGTAACGTCGTTAGCCACTTGAAAATCATCGGTCATTATTCCAAGTGCATTTCGTCGCTTATGAATGAATTTTCATCAGCAAATTGGACGAAACTGTCTCACTCAGCCTGTCATCAGAAGGCATTCCGAAAAAATTTCAACGTCAAGATTACCTTTTGTAAAGGTCACTTTGGGCAGCTTCAAGTAAAACGAAGAATTCAATTTTATCCTCATATCAGAAACAATATCAATATGAAGGCGACTTCTCCATTGTCACAGAAAGATTGTTTTGATTTCTAAGTAATAAAAATATCTTGAGCTTTGTGTTGCTACGGTGAATATTTACAACTCGCTGTATGGAAGTTTAGTGAGTTGTTCTCTAACTTAGGATTTTAGTTGCGAAATGTTTCAATGTCACGCCAAATGTTGTCATCATAGTATGGAAGCTTCATGTTTAGGTCAAGGAGATAGTTCTGCATGGATATTTATAAGGTGCTGGTTTACTTGGTTGTAATTTGATTGGTTGCTAGGCTAGCGAGTTGGCTTATCCTGAACCTGGCTGATTGGCAACCTGCCTCTAGTCTCTTCAGATAAGTGTGCAACTATGCGATTGGTCGCTCTTAAACTGGAGAGGTGTTTTTTTCTACCGCTGTTTGGTTGAGTTTTCCTGATGAAGCAGAGTTCCCTCACTTCACCGAAAGAAAAACATTATTCGGACTGGCAATTCAGCACTATTGAGAATGATCCCTTAAGGATAATCACTACCTTCGAAGACTACCGTAAATATCATCCTGAAGTTGAAGATACTCGTTTTAGAACCGTTAATTTGAGAGTAAAAACTAAGATGCCAGGTAATCCAGCGTTAGGGTTGTTAGCTGAACAAGTGATAAATGATTGTACTGACTTCAACATTTTACTTTCGAAATGAGATAATTTGATATTGTCCCTATAGTTTCATTTCTCTATGACAACGAATTGGCGTACATGTAATTTTCGACATCAGACTTAACCGTAACTTGAATGCTACTTCAGATAGCACTTTCCCTGATGCATGTTTGGTGGATGCAACCCTGTGTGTCAGGACCAAAGACAATTTTCTGATCCACTTCTCTCTTCGTAATCCCTGTAGCCTTAATAGACTCCTTATCATGATAAACATTAATTCAGTTGATTTGATATAACTCACTGAAATTTCTAGTTGAATTCACTGTCATCATTTTAGCTATACTTTGATAGAAGCAGACGCTCAGTTACTTTTGTTGAACTAATTTTCACCCTCTCCTTGTACGCTGGACGTGTATTTCTTCTACGTAAATCTTGGCAGAGTGAACTTAGTGTTTACATCCATCTTCACTGCCATGGTTCGCTTTCCGGTTTAACTAAAGATATCTTCCCTGTATAGTACTTGCATCGGTGAGCTGAAATCCAAGTAGAAAAACGAATAATTCAAATATTCAAATTTATACTCTTCTGTTCCGCTGTTATAACTTGTAAGTCTCCTTTGTTGATTCGATATAACTGATCCACAATGGGCTCTTGTGCGGATGCCTCGTTATTGCCAGTATTTTCGTTTTCGATATAAATGATGAATAATGGCTAGCAGTAGAATTGGAGACCTAGGTTCTTTCTGTTCGGGACTCGTCATTTGAATGTGTCTGTCACACAGTGATGTCGTTTCTACAAAACCTCGAACTCAAGACCGTATGCCAATAGTGGCAGACCAATTTGGTCCAATCAATCACAGAGATGCACTAGCTGGGTTGTAGAAACTGGACTGTTCCCATCGCACAACGAGTGGCCATCGTGATACAGTATCATCTGGCTTTTGAAACGATAGGTTACACGTTTGAGTCATAATGGGAACAAAACCACTGGTTGGAAGGCAAGCATATGGAGCTGGCGTGTTGCAAATGGGATGGAGCATGCATCTTAAGTCCCACTGCCAGTTACTATCTATCATTATCATTACACTTTTGTGTTGAAAATACTTTTCTACTTTTTCGTTAACATGGTCAGTACCTTCATTTTTTTTATCTATCAATCTCTTATAAAGGGATTATCAGGAATGATTTTGTGGATGATATTATACTGGATCCTGCAGAAATTGCACGTGAATACTGTAAAACATGGTTCATTTTAGACCTAATAAGTTCAATACCAATGGACTATGTTTTATTTGCCTTTAAAGGATATGAACAAGGTGAACGAGCTGAACACTTAGTGCAGGCAGGTAAGGATGTAACAGTATCATTTATAATTCGTAACACTGTTTTCATTAGTAGGTTGTATAGTTATTTTTCTGGCGTTTAATAGTTATGTTTACTCTGATTATTTACTGTACCATTTATTCGAAAACATGCGAAATAGTTAGTTACCTTGGTAATTTATTAAGTAGCCTGTCTTGATGTCCTTGTGTGTGACTGGTTGTTTCTGCCGGGGTTTTGTCACTGTCTCTATGTTCATTTTGATTGGTTGTCCTGGTGACCTGAAATTTGACCTTCTTGATGCTGCTTATTGGTGGATAGTTTGAGTCAATATCTATATCTCTGTTGATTGTTTACTGACCCGGATACCAAGATTCTAAAAGTTCTCTGGGATTTATTTCATTTCCTGTATCTAGCATTTGCACATTTTCCCCAGTCAAATTAATGCGCACAGTTTTCTATATGTATTGATATGAGTGAAGATATGCCATGAGGCTTCATTGCTAGTTGATGTTCATGTAGACGGATGCGAAACGGGTGACTACTCTATCCGATGTAGTATTTTTTGCAGTTTCTGCAGTTTATTTTGCTTGGTTTGTTTACCCTTGTCATTTTATCTTTTCACTCAGAAAATACAACCCTATCCTAATTACAGTCAGTTTAAAGCCAAGGAACGTGTTGGTCACATGACTTAAAGAAAATGGACCTACCAAGTAACAACAGAATATATGATAAGTGAGTAAACGGTGGTTTCATGTGAGATACCTAAACGATTCAGATGTCTGCATTTCCATCTAATCAGCTAGCCAGCCGATTAAAAAATAACAGTTCACCTGCCAATAAATACTATATCACCGTTTAATAACCTGTAATCTACATTAAAGTGTGATTAAAAGTAGGCGGAACAACAGTTTTACTGTCTTACAAATCAGCGTGCCTTGCGGAAACACATCACAGCCTACCAACTGAGCTCTTCTTTTTTATGATATTGTGTTTTCTTAGCCTGATTATTTAATTGAGTTGCTTTCGTTGTCGTTCTAGACTGGAATAGAAGCATAAAATACAACCTTAACAGAGGCGCAGACTGTTTGACTGAAGTCTTTGGAAAAGTGTTTGTATATTTCTTTCAAGTACACAATTGAAGTCTGAAGCTGTGAATCGCCATTGCTTCGGTTGTACATTAGTGCTTAATCTTCATCCTTGTTAAACGGTTAGGTCGAACGTTTTAGAGAACATGAAACGAGGTTTCCCGAGAAGCCTAATGTCCACAGTATACAAGATATCTGACTATGAGGCTGGAGATGACTTTGTTCTCATCGTTCAGCAACCAGGATGAGTAAAGTTCGCAAGTACGCTTTTCCGGCGAGCAAATGTTACGGCCGACATACCCAGCTTCACAGAAGCAAGTGAACCTATCTTTGACGCACTGTGAACACAATAAAAATGTCTGCAGCATAGAATATTCTATTAGGGGGTTTAACAAGCCCAGATGAACAAAATCCATGACAATACCACCTTTGCATCTAAAGTTCATTAAAAGTATTTTCTTCTGAACTGGTTGAATCAGTTTCATAATGCTCTATTCTTTCATATTTTTCTCAATAAAACTGGGTGGGTAACCATACTCTAACAGCATTTCTGCGAAAGTTTCTAATTCTTGAATAAATGTATCATCAGCGAATATCCTTCTTATCCTTGATGAAAGTGACAGCACGCGACTCCTTTTCCAACTTAAACCCACCCAGTCTTCAAAGTTAGTCAGTTACTTCCTGAAAGTTGGATTCCTGGAGATGGAGCTCAGAACAGAGTTGTCGGACCTTCTTCGGAGTTTGACATCGAAATAATGAAGCATCTGGTTTGATTCAGCTTCCAGTTAAAGTTTGAATGAAGGATGGCTATCGCTGATGTTTTGAGTGAAGCTTGTTTGGTCCAGGTTGTCATTAAAAATAATGAAAGCATCTTAAATATATCGTATATATATATATATATATATATATATATATATATATATATATTTGAAGTTGATCGACTGTTTGGAAAAATGTACTATGCTAAAGGCTACCCATGAATCTATCGGTGAATACAGGTTCAAGGAAAATCCTATTGTACTGCCATCAGTTTTTCTGTAAATCTCTTTATTATCTGCAGTAAACGTTATTATTATGTTTTTGGAGAGGCTTTTACACATTCATCTGTACAGTAAAACTAGCAACCGTTTGCACCAAGCTAATTAAAACCGGTCTTCTTGTCAATGTTTACGAAAAACAAAATGGTAAACATGAAATATATAGAACTTAGTTTATTGTTCCGTGTATATATACACGTCAAATTTTAACACGTACCCCGCATACATTTCTGTTTATTACCTGCAACTTCCTGCTACTATACTGGGTCGAATTGCTCGACGTCTGTTGATAAATGGGCTCGTATAGGGATACCTCGATACCACCCGGATAATATTTATGTTGTCTTCTATCTTGTGGCTAGCAGCAAAATTCAGAACGCACATTTCATCCTACTTTGGGATCGTCAGCTGGGTGTACCTATACTGAAGTGAGTAATTTTCCTCTAGCTTATATTCAAATATAGTAGCCATCACTTCAAAAGTAAAAGCGTTATCCACTAGACTACTGAGGCATGCCAGTCATCTTTCGCGGAACAGGTATTAGTGCCGCTGTAGCAACAGAAGATTACAAGCATCAAAAGACAACTGATGCACGTTGCATACTTAGTGGCTCTCGTGACCTAGTGACCTGTAAGGTAAACCTTTTGGGTTCGAAGCGATAGGTGCAGGGTTCTAGTTGGAACACCATCATTCACTGAAGCGCAGATACAGCCAGCTGATGACATTTGATCAGCAGCATATTCTCATCATTGCTACAACCATATGGAGGCACATTTAAACCAACCATGAGATCAGTTAAAACCATACTTTAAAAAGGTAAGAACGACAATGCAAGCATAAGATAAAATGGATCCATTTTACCTCAGTGGTGTCTTGTCAACCGGTTGTACACTAAAATATCCTTATATATAGTTGTATTGAAGGAAAACAAAATATCTGTCAGTAGCTAAGATAGACAGAAATAGTCGTAGAGTAAAAGTCAATCACAATGACGAATTTTCATTAAAACCACATATTTTGATATTCTGGGCTGAGTAGTTGGTAAGATACCGACGAAATAAAGTGAATCCGCTTGACCCCTCAGCTGACACTGTTGTTCTCGCTCTTTTCAAATTCCTAAGAAGGAATTAGTGTACGAAACAACATTTTTAGTACTACTAGTAATAAATCATAAAATATGACAGAAAGGTGAAACCAGGACACTCTGCAAATGCATAAAGTCACTCTTTATATCTACTTCATACTTACCCTAGACTTGAAGGTCCTAAATAACAATGTTTTAAAGGAGAAAGGCTTCAGGCTGTACTTTTAGGAATGGATCCATACATTATGTTTCTAATATCTCTTCTTTTCAGATGAAATCTGTTTCTCTGTAAGAAAATTACTCGTGTTATTTTTCATTCACCTTGTCAAATTTCTCCGGCCATCAGAATTTTTCTAACTATTTAATACAGAAATATTTTTAATTGTCACAGTATCTTAGACAAATCAAATCATATAACCTCATAAACTTGAACCAATGTTATCCATTTTTATTCCAAACGTGAAATCCAATAAAATTAGTGATGAATTATATTTTATCCTAGAAATCGATTCTCACACTGTCAATCTGAATAAGTAGTATGATGTTCACTTATGAATCTTCTTGTGTTTACTATCTAAAAAAAGATTGTATCTACAAATTCGATTCGGTGGTTTGTAGGGATATATTTCAGGTTGGTATTCTTCATCGACTAACATCAGCTGAATAAACATTGAAAAACTGGGTACATTCGAAACCTGTTTCTTCCTGCTTTGGGACTTCTCAGTACTGAGCACACAAGACCCGGCTGGATTCTGTGTCCAAAATGTCCTTTTTCAGACACTGGGTCAGAATCCAAGGGTCTGCACTACTTACTCCTGTCAGTTCACCATTTAGCGCGTTTTCCAGACAAACAATTAATCTTGTGCTCATCAGTAACTCACTTTTGGAGATATTTCCTGAAGTTTCAATGAGACGTTGAGACCGGTGACGCCGTTCAAGTCGAATATTGCTATAGATATGAACTGAAAGAATTGGAAAATATTGATCATCGGATTTTTACCCAGTAACTCAGTGGTAACGTGCCAGAAAAGGTACCTAAAGGTTGGTGGAATCATGGATCAGTAGTCTGAGGAGGCCTATACTGCGACAAAAATGTTGTCCAGTACCCCATGCTTTCAATGTTTCTCTAAACAACGTCAGTCCTTGATGAATATTTAACCTGAAACCAATATATCTATTAATTTTAGCCTCAGAACAGTTTTCAAATACTGGTTGAAGTTTAATATTATTGAGAGATACTGGGCAGCAGTGGAATCTAGAAAAGGTGTTTCGTCCACTTTCAGACTCATCAGGCATAACACATTGAGTTCAGTTGCTCTAACTTTTTGTTTGAATAACTAGTTTGCTTCATATTACATATTTCTTTTGCCCAATAAATCCTATTGCAAACAAATCTACAGTCTGTGGATTTCATTATCAAATAATACTATTGCTTATCACTAATGATTCCCATTTAAAAAGTTTAAAGTCTTTATTCTGAAGTTACATTACTGCTAATAAGATCACGCTTGCCTTTTCATCCTGTTTAACAGATAATTTCTTAGTAAAGCACTGTTGGCATAATGAAGCGTATAGCTTAAGAAAAAAAGAGACAAACGGAACTACTAAGAATGAATAGAGGGTATTTCATTATTTTCATTTGTTAATGAGATAAATATAACCTAAAACTCATCCTTCCAACTGGTTTGCAAAACGTTTTTAATATTACAATTTACTTTCACTTATCGGAAAACAAGGGAAAGAAATTTTGGTAACCAAGAAAACATGTACCATCCTAATTTAGCGGGAGAATAAAAACCCGATAATCGTAAAAACTT